AAGAAATGTTATTTTAAAGGTGCCAGAAGCAAAAACACACAGGGAAGCTAAACTGGCTTGAAGAAGTGGGGAAGGGGAGCACACAGCTCCTTCCCCCCGGATCCCCTGCTGCTGCCTGCAGCTCCTGGCGCTGGAGCAGGCACCGGTGGACCGGGGGGCTGCAGGGGGCCTGGGCAGGCAGGGGAGCTGGCGGGAAGCTGGTAGGCTTCCGTGCAAGACTTCATCCCTCCTGGCACGGAAGAGGTGTTTGGGTGTGCTTGGGACCTTGGGGGAGGACGGAGCTGTGGGGGGGGGCTGGAGGGAGGGGGTCTGTGGGGGGAGCCCAGCCAAACCCACCGGGAATCCGTCTGCCTCCAGTCTTCTGCGATGCTGCAGTCCTCCATCACCAAGAACAGAAGAATATGAGCTGAAAGCATGGCCTCTGTGACCAATTTATTATATTTATTGGATGAAATTGCATTTAGGGGCTGTTATGTCAAAAGATCGAACTTGTTTTATAAACCCTCAAAGGCTCAGGGGGCAGGGGGTGGTGGGAAACTTTGGACTCGCCCAGCAGAGTTTGCTCCCTTCATCGCAGATGGGGCCCCCACCGAGAGGTTACTCAGACACATGCTGCAGTGACTGAAATAAGTCCATTTAAGCAAACCTACAGTGGTGCTCAAGCTGCAGCCTGCATCCGTGGCATTTGTTACCCTGGGTGGCTGCACAGGCACACAGGCTGGGTGTGCTCAGGAGCAGGCTGGATGAATTCCTATGCAGCAAGTCCATAAAGAGATATTAAGGGACTAGGCAAGGCCCCCAAACGTCCTTAGTTATGGTGCTGGGGAACATGAGGGGGAGAGATGGCAGAAAATGGCTACGCTCGGGTACTGTGCCCAAACAGCATCTCTGACGGTCCAGCCAGGCCAGGGTGCCTCTGCTGTCATCCAGTAGGGCCTTACAAAGCTTCGCTTTCTTTAAAACACAGGATAAGGATTTCAGCATCATCAAGTTTCTTTCCTCGTTCCCATGCAGCATTAATAATAAACATAGTAGTGCAGTTATTAATAATAGCAATGACCAGTCCTCTCTGCTAGTGAAGACACTGAGCACAAGCTGGCAGATGGAGCGGGAGCACAGAGCGCTGCCTCCCTTCGTTCCAGCAGAGGCAAGACATCACCCCAGGAATTTTATAGTTTCCTGTGAAAGAGGTCCTGCTCATTCATCAGGCATTGAAAAGTGTGCTCAAGCCAAGAATGTATTTATTTTTGATCTAAATATAGTTGAAGTTCTATTAAAAAAACATGAGGAATGTCAGGGCTCCCACCCCAAGGCCGTCACAGGGGAGGCGGCACAGAGCATTGAGTGTCGGTCCCTCGTTCCCACATGTGCCTTCATCCAGGGATGCCCATCTCACCTTTCCTGGATAATGGTTTAGTGCAGGGACAGAAGCCTAGCGTGTGGGGACGGGAAGGGCTGATGGCCCCACTGCCTCCCACAGCCTCTGGCTGCTCCCACTGTCCCCCACCCTGTGCCCAGGTAAGACATCGGTGGCTGCAGCATTTCCCTGAGCATGGGAACACAGGCAGGTTTGGAGCATTTAGCAGAAAGCAGTGAGCTAAAGGCCCCGACATCGCTCCAGCGGTGAGTGCCCCCCGCCCCTGGCCCCGGTGGGACTGGGAGGGACAGTGCGGGGCAGGGCAGGAGCAGGGATACTGCAGACCGAGGATTGCCACCAGCCGCCTCACTGCCCATCGGCTGCCGTGGTGGGGTCAGGGTGCTGTTTGTTAAGAGACCACTGTTTGGCCCTTTCCACACTGGCAGCAGCAGCAGAGAGGATGAAGTTTATCTCGTGCTTCAAGAATGACTCGATGAGAGTGAAGTGCGGTTTGTATTTGTTTCTGAACAACCACTAGCAACTGCTCAGTCCAGAAGGAATCTGGCCTGATGATTATTTAGGCTATTTGGATTGCTTCTAAAGCTTATCCAAACTGTCTGGTCCCTCTCTGTTGGTGGCTCAGAAGAAAAACACCCTCCTTTCCTTCCTCTTTGCCGTGATGGTGTTGTGTGGTCTTCTCAAACGGCAAGGTACCCTCCAACAGCCTCAGGTCCAGCCCTCTGCAGAGGACAGGATCCTGTCTGGGGATGGCTGCTGGTTGCATTTCACGCTAGCCCAGTCACCATGGACCAGACGGCTTCCTCGGGCAGCCAGCCTGGCTGCTGCCCGCTCCCCAGTCCCAGCCCCAGCCCCAGCCCCAGCCCCTGTGCCCTGCAGCCTACCAGGGGCTGAGCACCCCTGCACCTCCCCTATCTCCCTTCTCCCCTGCCAGCCCTAACTGCCTGACATATGGGAGCCATTTCCAGCTCTTTATGTGCTCTCTTTCCTTGTTGTTCTTCTCAACAATTTACCTTCTGTGTGCGCAGCAAGTCATACCCATTTCTATGCTGATGTGCAGCAGTTTAGGTCTCCCCACGGCTTTTGCTGCCTTGCCCAGATTTAACCCTTCAAACAAGACAAAACCAAGCCCTGGCTGTGGCTGCAGAAACTGCAATGAAGCTCCTGCATGTGAGCGGCATGGGCGCTGCATGGCCGCAGCCGATGGTTCCTCAGGTCCAGGGGACCCCAGCACCAACGTCAGCGCCCGCTGCCCTCTGCTGCACAGGCCACCCAGGACGATGAGCCACAGGATCAGCTTCTCAGGTCATTTTTCAGCCTTACACAGGTCATGGACTTGTTTAACCCAAGTAAGGCCAGACTAAAACTGCATTAGATGCACCTGCCAAAAACAATCTGTCACTGCCATGCAGGCAGCCTGCTTGATTTATGTGCCCCGCTAGCCTGCTCCACTGCCCCTGGCTATAGAAAATGCATTTATATCTATATGTAAGTACACACACACACTTATATCTATATGCATATATATATATATATATATATATGTATATATGGGAAGGAACAACTTGTAGTGCTGTCTAGGGAAACCTGCTCTTACCACCTTTGTGCTCTGGAGTCTCGAAGCTCTGAAGTGCAGGGTTTGCCAAAAAAAGAAGTGACACCCTTGTCGATTTTTAAAGACTAAGAAACTTTTGTTAGGAACAGTTTGGGTGTGGTTCTGGGGCACACTTATATGGGCATGCATAGGGTAAAGAGTCAGTCCAGAATTAGCCATTAAAAAAACCTTTTAAAATATGTGTTTTAATAAGAAGGCCGTTAGTGCCTGTGTTCCCTTTTGCTGCAGAGCGCTCGGTGGCAGCAGCATGGCCCCTCAGAGCCACACCAACCCAGAGTGAGCAGGCTGCAGAGCTGGTGCGTCTGCCACGCTTCGCTGCAGCTCCTTTCCTGCAAGCGCAAAGGCCCATCTGCCTGTGGCTCTCAGCATCCTGCCCAAACGGAGGCCTCGGAGCACGCCTGCATGGTGCTCCTGCTTGCAAAACCCCCCCAGTAACACTGGGTCAGTGACGGGCTGAAACCAGCTCTGATCTGACATCCCCAACACACCCACCCTGGGGGCAGCCTCAGTGCCAGGGACGATGCAGCAGAGCATCGCTCTGTGCCGGGGCCGACACCAGGGAGCATCGCTCTGCACCAAGGCGGCAGCTGCTGCCTGTGTCTCTTCCCCCTGCCACAGCAAAAGCAGGAAAGTTCCTCTCTCCCTCTCATCCCCTCTGCTTACACATTAGAAGAAACTGAATGTTTTTTTCATTTTAGAAATAGCATTAGAAAACACTTCCTTTACAAAGTAATTTTCAACTCGCTTGTTTAAAATTTGTCGGCTGCTAAATGTTTTTGCCTGGTCATTTTTTCCTTGCTCTCGGTCAAGCTGATTTATGGGTCTTTATCTTTTAAAAATTTCCCAGCCCCTCAAGCTGTGCTTCTTCCACGAGGATTCTGCTGTGATAACCTACTAACTGACAGGCAAGAGCGCCAGGCTCATCCCAATGGATGCAGCAGTCTGTTGGGGGCTGCCAGTACCACCCAAGCAAAACCCCTCCGTTAGGCCCCAAACAGCACAAGAACTATGTCAAAAATCATGGGGGAAGAGAGGAGGGTTGTTTGGTTTGCCTTTAAATATGAGTGCTGGTGTCTTTCTGTTTGCTTGCACATTTCTGAACTTTTTAGAGTCTGTTTGCTTCGTCTCCTCAAGCTCTACACTGCAAACACAAGTGTTTGCACTTAAATTAAATTAGCCTTAAACCCAAAGCAACCTGAGGTGCTTCTGCGAGCTTTTCTGAGATAAACATTGCAAGATTGGTGATAAAAAAGAAAAAGCAAAGGAGGAGCCATGGAGAACTGCCTCCTGCAGGCACTTGAGCCAATACCCCTTGTCTGGACGAGGCCCAGGAGCGGGTGCTGTCCCCAGGGGCAGAGCTCATCCCCCGCAGCCCACAGGCACAGGGGTAACCCCATGTCCTCCCCCCAGCCTCCTGCTCTCCCCATCCCTGCAGCCGCCAAGGGCATCGCACGCAGCACATACCACAAAAGCCTTTTATTCTTAGACAATAATTTTCATATTGGTAAAACCACTCCTCAGATGATGTTACCCGGTATTTTAAAATGAAATCCTTTAAAGTTAGATTTGCTAATTGGATAGATTTTGAAATATATCATTATAGATTATGTAGCAACTCAGGAAAACTGACAAATAAAACAGGGAAAGAAAGGCACCAGTCATAAACTGCATAGCTGGACTAAAAATGTCTCTGTCAATATGCATCACTTCAATGATCCAGCCTTGCAACAAGAAAGGAAAACATCCACAGGGGGAAATCTTTACCCAAAGGCCTAACCCTGCCCCCAGCAGGAGGCCTGGGGCTGGCCCCGACTCTGAGATACAAGTGGTTTGGATGAAGGGGTGTCATGGTTTTCTTCCCCTTCTCCATTTTGTTTGCAGTCCTCTGTTGCAGACGCAAGCACACCTGGTGCGGTGGGAAAGGTCCTGGAGCATCCCCGGGTCCCTGTGGCACAGGGGGCTCGCTGGGTGATCGCTGCCATAACTGTGCTTCTCTCCCAGCACCGAGTCTCAGATGATGGTGCAGCCACAGCAGCACCTCTCGGGGTAGTCCAGCACATACACCTTGTTTTCGAGCCCATAGATGTAGTAGAGGTAAGTCTTCCCTGAATACTGGTAGTGAACTTCTGTGATGGGGATTAGCTCAATTGTTTGACGCTGGGAAAGGAAAAGCTCAAATTAAATATGCAGTTTGGAGCAGAGGCTCTATCTTGCTTTAGACCAACATGTGTAGAGAGGAAAAAAGCCCCAACTTTTAGCCACAAGCCTCACAGGTCTGAGAGAGCTGCTGCTTTGTGAAGGGGGAAAGAAAATCTGATGGAGACCTACCAGCCCATCACTACAGCCATCAAAAATTCCCCTAGCTGCAGGGAGATAGCATGTTATGGCCCTTGCATACTAGACCACTTTTACTGCATTTATAGCTATTTAAGCTAATTCCTTAAATCCTTGAAGCCCTTGCTTCCAGTCCTCGGTGTGTTAGCATATGCCCCTGTCTCATGCATGGTTGAGGTCTGTGTGTGAACGCAGTTCCCTGTCCTTGCCCTGAGAACACAGGGGAGCCACGGGCATCTGGATGTGCACCAGCAAACACTGGCGTTGGTGGTGAATCAGCTCCTTTGTGGACACATGTCACCTCTGTCCCTTGGAAGCAGGAAGAGATGTTAGTGATGGGCCGCACTGTGCAGCAGAAATTGCTGCAGATTTAACCCCTGCTGCTCTGCTCCCTTCCCTGTCGGAGGGGGAAGAAAGCTGCTTTCATCTCTACTTATCTGGTAATTGTTACTCATCGCTGAATTACAGGAGATAGGCTGGTATCAGTGCTGCAGTGGCACCTCATCTCCTCATGGAGGGCCCTGCTTTGCTCCTTCCTTTTCTTTGCAGAACAAGTTTAGCAATTCCTGCCTTTCCCTAACACCAACCAAACCCATGGTTTGGAGAATTTTTCATTTGTGATCAGCCAGGACTGCCACCAGCTCAAACCCAGCAACATACACCAGCCCCTTAGGGCTGCTCGATGGGATGAGAGAGGGAGGGGAGTCGAGCAGTGCCCGGCAGCCGGTCCGGTCTCCTGAGCAGCCGGTGCAGCCCCAGGAGCCACTGAGCAGCAGCAACCCTGTTCAAAGCCAAGGGGCAGGTACCCACCCCGTCTTTCACCTCCTGTTGCAGTTACATGTGCAAAGTCTCAGTTTTATATAAAGCTCAACAGCCCAGCAAAGTCTGCCAGGCTCCAGCCCCTCTAAACCCAGAGGGTATCTGTGGTCCTGATATTTACCTCCAACACATGGCCAACATCGTAAGAAGCCAGAATAGCATCAGCCAAGCAAAGAAGAGATTTCCCCCCCAGCTTTCTCGAAAAGATGCTGATTATTAAGTGGATGAACTTCAGCCAACAACAAGCGGAGTGGATGAAAAATTCAATGGTGGGGAAAGCGCCGGCAGAAGGCAGCCTGGATCAGCATAAATACCATGTGGTGCCAGGGATTTGGCAGGGCAGGAGGTTTTCAGCACCTGCTTTCCCATACAGCTAGAGGATGCTTTGGATAGTGTGCAGCAATCTAGTGAACAAACTGCCTTAGATGCTGAGAAGTGGAAATTATAGGCTGGAATTAAGTTGGAAGACAGAAATTTGCCAAAGAGCTGGTTTTGACAGACCACATGGAAAATCAAACCGTCTCCCTTTAAGTTTATTTTGGTCTTTCAGTTTACTTGCATTTTTAATGTGAAACCTTCTCTTTCCTGTGAGTGAAAAGACAGTATGTTCTGGCTAAACTTTTGCATTTGCAATCACATTTATAATAGCAGCAACAGCGATTACAACAATCTAGCGAGAATCAGATGGAGTGGAATCCTAATGTTTATTCAAAATTAGCTTCTAAGATAAAAATAATGGTAATAAATAATGTTTGCCAGGGCTTTGAAAAGGTAAAAGGAACAATAATAACCACAGTCACCTACGTCTTTCAATACATGTCTGAAAAATTATTTCCCTGGTATTTTGCTTGATAATTAAGAGTTCTTTGATGATTAGAATTTCTTTTTCATTTGCTAAAAATCACCTCTAAATAAAAAATGAAAACGGTTACTATTCTCAGCATCTTATTGTTTCTACCCAAGCTCACTAATCAGCCATCATTAGCTGATCCCTCGGGCGCAGGGATGCGCAGCAGACGGGGGAGGGGACACGCAGGCAGCTCCGCTCCAGGCTCCCCCCTTACCTGCCGGAGGATGCGGGAGGACGTGGCAAACGCCGCGCTGTGCTCTGCGATGGCTCGCTGCGAGGCCAGGGAGATCTCAGGTTCAGGAAAGTCGATGATGGGGTACACCTGCAAGAAACGGACCCAGATGCGAAAAAGAGAGACCCTGTTTTTCTGGCAGAAACATATTCATTTCACCTGTTACTGGCCCATGCAAGGAAAGACCTGGGCATATAATGGAAATAAACAAAATAAATGCTAAGCTCAAAGTCCCAAAGGCATGTCCATCCCGCCCCAGCAAAATGTAGAAGTGTCCAAAATAGGGACCATGCCTCTCTAGACAGAGGTTAGGGCTGCCCGTGGAGCAGGACAGCACGGGGAGAGGCTGCTGTTCCCAAGCTGGCAGGTTTGGTTAAAAACTGGCACCAAGTGTCTCTGTGACTCTGTGCCCCAACAGGATTCACTGTCACCTTCTTCCAGCAGTGCAGCACTGTTAAATTTGAAAGGTTTTTTAAAGCCTCTCTCCCCCAGCATGTGGACAATTTACAGAAGAAATACTGGGCTTGTGGGCAAAGCAGAACTAGTCATGAATGCAGCTACTTCTTGCAGAGCCAGGAGTGATAGTCATTTATGTGAGAGGCCCACTGATTTTAATGCTTATAGGACTTCAGATCTAAAGCATTCGTTGGAGAGTGACTCAGATGCTAAAACATCATTCAAACCCCAAAGGGATTCTGCAACACCAGACGCAAAGTCTTCACTACAGATGCATGACACTGAGTAATAGCTCTCTGGGGGAGAGCTGGTCCGTGCTTGGATGTTGCCTATCTCCCTGTCTTGGGACATGACTGAAGTTTCTACAGGTTATTGCAAAACAACTAATAAATAATAAAAAGGCACAGTTAAATCCTTTCTCATTTGCATTTGCATTTAAAAAAAAATCAAGCTGAGGACTGAGCAGTACAGAAATGGCACTGGCTGTAGGAGAGCACTGTGCTTCAGCCATTTTCGGATTGTTCTGCCCCAGACTTTTGCAGGTATACAGAGGCAGATTGCCTCTGGGAGCCCTGTACCACAGGAGCTGGAGGAGAAGAGATGTCCAGTGTTGATGAACATCTTGTTTAAGGGCCCTGCACCTGCAGGTCCCCATGGCAGCCCAGAGAGCAGCCCCGGCCAGCAGCAGCACCTCTGCGCTGGATCCTGGCTCCAAAGCTGGCAGGATCAGCTCCTGCCTGTGGGATGAGCTCCCGGCGGCTCTGCAGGCAGGTGGGTTTGCTGGCTGATGGCAATGCCATTCAGGCACTCCGGCAAGGGGCCAGAGCCACTGTCCCATGCCCTCACCCTGCAAAGCCTGCAGCCGACAGTGCTGACACTGTGCAGGCAGTGGAAAATGTGCAATATAAAAAACCCCAGGGATGGATGTGCTGCTGGATGCCTCCTGCTATTGCTGGAGAGCCACAGAGAACAACTCTGGAGTGGGATTTCTGCTAGTCTGGCAATGGCCACCAAAAGTAATCTGGATGCTGGCTGATGCAGTACGGGTTGATCACATTTTGTCAGGCAGAAAACCCAACAACTCTCAGTTCCTCAGGGGAAGCTAAGGGTGCTCTGCACTACCTAGGGGCAATGGCCCTAAGCCACCTCGTCGCTTTGGTCCCGGTGCCGCACCGTCAGACCGCACATGTCACCTGCAGGTAACCCTGCTTCTGCCAAAGCATTTCTGTTCCAGCCTGAGAGCTCCCTGGCCCCAAGGCCCCCACACGGAGGAGCAAAGTCGCCATCTCCCAGTGGCTGCTGATGGAAGAAGACCCACTTTTGCTGGATTTCATAATCCCATTGCTCCCTACATTTCTCCCGACTGTAGAAATGGGAAAAGCTGTGTCCCACGAACAGGAACTCAGCAGCTCTGCTGCAGGAGAGGGCACTAGTTATCGCCGTGTCCAGAGCAGCTGCTGGCCACCGCAGCAGAGATGCACAACTGGAAGCCATTTCACATCCCCCCTTGTTCACAGCCACTCCGGGAGGGATCCCCTCCAGCCCCACGGGTAGCACTCACCACCACGTTTTCATCTTTAAATATATTCTCTCCACTGACTTTGCTGAGCAGCTCTCCTGGGATGTTCAGATGATGCTCAGAAACAAATTCAAAGACATTGTTCTTCCTGCAAGAGAGAGAGGAAACAACCGAGTGATCCAAGGCTGGTTGTAGGGCACTGAGCTATCTCCAGGCTCTTTCTAAATGCCTGAGCAATGCTTGAATGCTCCCTGATTTCTGAGGACAGTAGTCATGCCTGCCTAACCTTTGTGCACTCCCGCATTAGTTTCTTAATAACCTTGTATATGCAACAACCATGGGTGACTCTTGCATCAATAATCCAGAAATCAGCCGCTCATGGTGATCACCTTGCCTTACGGCTTTCAGAGCATCCCACACCTATTAATTCCTTGCAGCAGGAGAGGTCTTATATTCCCTTTCCAAAGCCACGGCTTTGATTAAAGTGAACCATTTTTTGCTCTATTACTTGTAGGACACGGGCATGGTTAGTGGCTGATGGTGGCCTCCAAAGGAGCTGAAGGTCTCATCTGGCAGAGCTGTGCTGGTCTGGGGTAATGCAGCCCTGGGGTCCCCGCGCCCCGCAGGAGTCCCACCAGCGACATGCATGGCTGGGGCAATTTCCAGCCTCTCAAGATGGACGGAGATGGTGTTTTGAAAAATGAAGGTCTTCACACAGGGTAATTGAAGGCATTTTGTACAAAAACAGGAAAGTGCTCAGGAAGCACCCAGCAGGGTAGGTAATGGCTTTTAGCTAAACCTCACAAGCTAAGATCTTTTTCAGCCCCATCTGTTATCTCTGGCACTAGAGCTCCTAAATGGGAAATGCCAGAGCAACACCACAGCCAGCAGCCTTGGGCCATCACTAAAACCCCAGAAAAAGGAGCTCGGCCACTGCCCCACATTGCTCCTGGCTGGCAGGGACTCTGGGTCTGGGCTGTGCAAGCTCATACCAGGCAGTGGCTCAGCCGCTCCATCTCCATTTCTGACTTTTCGTGTGACCTTGGACAATCCTTTACCTCTGTGCAGCTCCCACCACGCCCCATGGACAAGACTGCCATCATTAAGGACTAAAGCTGCCCCTCTAAGCCCCTGTTTCTGCCTGACCAAAGGCAATAAATACTCTCTCAGTTCCCCCTTAGGGAGCACAGCTGAGCTCCCAAGCCTTGCAGTAAAATAAGGAATAAAAGTAACAGCTCTGGACTTCTACCCATGGTGCTTACCAGGTTATCACCAGCTGCTTGAAATGTTGGAGCTTCTTCTCTCCCTGGCAGGTTGCACAGGTCTTGCTGCCCCGGCCAGAACAGGTATTGCACCTTTGGGTGCAACAGTAAGGATTTTAAACAGGATTTTAAACACTGCCCACTTTCAGAGGCCTGTGGATTTATTTCAGACTGTTTGTGTAGCTCAGCTGGGTCAGCAGTACAGGAGTCAATGATAGCACATGTACCGCACATACATCTTCCCCCGGTCTGTGACTCAAGGGATATAGCATATTTGCTGGGAAAAACAAATGACTAATGCCAGCCTCAAATCTATTTGTAAATGTGGAATTAGTCAAAGAATGTATTTGTACATCTAATTAAGGATAATCACAATTTCCCCATACAACGGTAGGAAGGCGAGTGTCACTTTGAAGACGCTGCCTGTGCTTCTAACAGATGCAGGAGGCATATGCTTATGCATGGAGCATTTTGATTGCATCAATGCAACACAGATTAGCAGCAGTTAACAACTGATTCATTAAGGCTCTTCAAGCCATCATTAGCCCCAGTGGATTCATGCTTTAAAGTGACTGCCATGATTATGCACGATACCATCTCTGTTATTTTAAACTTAATGGAGCCACATAAACAAAACAGTTTTAGAACAGTGCCTTCTTTTTTTGTCACTTAAAGATCATTTTTAGGCCTGTTAAGTTTCATGTTTGGAAAAACCAGAGGGTGGTAATAATTCTCCAGGCTGCGCTGGCTGTGAAACCTGCCAAACCCCAACCGGGCGCTGTGGAAACTGGACCTAAGAGCAGCTCTGAAGTTTGCTGCTGCCATCCCGGGCCGGCTCCTTCCAGCCCCATCCCACCACCCACTCCCCGTGCTCTGATCCGAGCTGAGCCCACCAAGACCTGGGACGGGAGGTACAGCATGGACCTGGGGAGACTCAAAGCCTCTTTTCTGTCGCAACTCCTGAAGGTCTGAGAAACTCTGCTTTCACTGGAAAACCCAAAGTGTTCTCCAGCTTCCCAGAGATGCTGGGAAATGCAACAGTCTTATAACAGAAAGGTAAAAAATATGGAAGAAAGGAGAGCCAAAAAATTATTATTTGCCAAATGCTTAAGAGCTTATCTCATGAATTTGGGATAACAGCCTGGTTTCGGAATGCTGAGTGGGCCACACAGAGTGAATAACAGACGTTAAAATGAAAGGTCATTTAAAAATCAGAGGCGGAAAAGGCTATTTCTAACCATTTTTCCTGGAGAATAAAGCTACTGCTGTACTGCTTTCTCTGTTAGGTGATCTTCATGGTAGAAAATAAAAAAAGCACACAGGCATGTAGAGCATGCCCCAGCTCTGCACTGTAACCTCTGCCAGCAGCAGGTAAGTGGAGCCATTTTGGCTCAAACATACTGGGTTAAGGGCTTTTTTTCCCCTACCAACTTTCCAGTATTTTCCTCCTACTGGCAGGTCTTCAGCAGATAACCTCCACCAAGCCAGTGGGACTGGGACTGGTTTCCACTAACCATACCGTTGCGTGAGCAAACATGGCCTAAGGGAAGCAATACGGTCCGAGCAGAGCCACGCTAACTGACGCACAGAGGAGCCCATCCTACCTTTTGCGACCTGTACCTGAACAAAGCTGGCATCTCTTTTGCTGCTTTAGCCTCTGTCGGGATCCCTTGCACGTTACACACCTCGTCTACAGATATATCAAAGAATTAAAATAGGTGGTGGCTGCCAGAATAAAAAATGTCAGGTTTATAAATCAAAAGCTTTTATGTATGTTATCAGAATAATTGCTAACTCAGGCTTGCAGGGAAAGGTATATGCCAAGTACATACATGGCAAATGAAAAGAATGTACAAAATAGCTCATAAATTGTGACTCTGGATTAATTAGATGTTCCAGTCAAACTCACCAGTGATGCAAGCCAGACACACAATTTAGTTTGAAATGTCTTTTTTCTTCACACATGTTTTTCCACTGTTATTTATTAACGTAGTTAGTAGTAGAATTTTATTTAAGTATTCCTATTTAATCAGATTAACGTTAATTAAGTGGCAATTTTAGTGCAGTAACAATATATCTTTTGGCTGTCTTTGGGAATATTTGTGCAAAAGAACAAATAAAGATAGGAGGCCAGATTTGTAGCTGCACTCACACCCCTGGGTTAAGCCTCCTCTTCCCTTTGGAAACCCCAAATACAGAACTGAGCATATCTGAAAGACAGCGACCAATTTGCTGTATTCCATGCCTAAGATCTGACCTCATCATCTCAACAGTGCAGAAGCAAATTCTCCTTTCCTTCTCACCATCATAACACGTAGGCTATCGATTGTGGACAGGGTAAGACATCCTTGCTACCTGGGCAGGATTTTGACAACCTCATTCAGGATCTCTGCAGAGGCCCTGGGAACATCAGCTGGGAACTGCACTGAACACGACTGGGTTTGGGATACAGGGTGGCAAAGGGGGAATAAAACAGAACTTCCCCTCGGACTTCCAGCCCTCATATGAAGTGCAGCAGTAAGATGGCACACGACGTAATTCGCAAATGAAGCAATAGGAACTGCAGGCTGCCTGGCAGAAGGTTTCCCAGCTCCTTACCCGACCTGCCCCGTGGCACACCCCACACTTGGACCGGCCGTGACCATGGCATCTGTGACAGTCCTGAAATCAGAAGATTATTCATGCACAGAGCTGCCCAGGGATTTCAGATATCCCATATTATGCACATCCACTCTCCCTGCATCAAAATTCAGTGATAAAATTCTGGTCCTAACAGGACAGAATCCAACAGCATAAAATTGTGCTGTACAACCATTAAAGGAGTCATAAATAATAATTATTTAACAAAGGCAAATATCTATGTAGTGCTGGCAAAAGAAAGTAATTTTTTTTCTTTATTCATCATATCACTTAAAAAGTAAAATAAATTGACCAGCTATAGAGCTTGTCAAAAGCTAAATGGGAACTGTCATGCAAACAAATGTTCTGCTAATGTCGAAAAAAAAATTTAACAAAAGAGGAAAGATTATCCAGTGCTGTTCATTGAAAAGGCTGCAGCAAGGTTTGTCCTCAAACTTCTAGAGGAAGAAAACACCAGGAAGAAGGGATCTCTGACTATTTTCCCCGGCATTTAATGAGGAAAAACCCAAGAAAAGGAGAACCATAGTGAGGTGCCCATCACCATCCCGAGAAGCTGAGGGTCCCAGGGAAGGGACACTGCCCCAGTTGGGGGCTGCTCCCTGAGCCCCAACGAGCCCATCGGCCAGGGAAGGGGCTCCCGCGAGCAGCCATCAGTGAGTGAGGACTCACCTTGACCAGTGCTGAGTGGGGCACCCGGCAGCGCCG